CCCTCTTTGCATTCTTACATTTTGTTCCCCACCTTCTTTTATAAAATAATATATTCATACAGATGTTATTACCACCTTTGTTTATTATTTTAATAACATTTCAGCGTACATTGACAATAGTTTGTCTAGAATGACAAGTGTTTAAAAAATGTTTGATGTAGTGTTTATGGCCAGAACCAGACAGATGCTGATAGTGAATATCAGATAATTTACTGACAGGGCCTCCTACCTCACTTCCGCCTGCTGTATATGTGTGTGTTAGTGTGTGTAGGAGTGTTTGTTGTAGTACAGCAGCTGCAGCATATAGACAGGGAGCAGCTGGGATTGTTGAGCACAGACTGTGTGTGCGCGTGTGTCAGAATATATATGTGTCTTTGAGTCAGTTTATGTGTTGCATTGCCTTATGGTGTGTGTGTGTATGTGTGTGTGGAGGGGTCAGCAGGTTTGTCTTGCAATGGAACTGGTGGCGTCTCCTGGGGTCTTTTTGCAGTAGGACAACACGACGGACCCTGATGCCAACAGCAGTGAACAGATGGCTGAGTGTGTTAGCATGCGTGAACTGTGCCAGGGGTCAGAGGGGGCTGTTCATCCAGTTGGGAGACAGCATTCCTCCAAATGAGCATCCTAACCTGTTGCTACTTAACAGCACACACACTCTAATCACAGCAAACTCATACATGACTTCCTCACCTTTCTGAATAATTTCCCCAGCATCTTAGTTATAATAAAATAATAATAAAAACCCTCATTATTTTATCTTCCATAGATTCCCCATAGACTTCTTTCACAGCAGCCATTTTGAGATGAAAATAGTAAACACAGGTGTTACCAATTACATTAATTAAGGGTCTGTTCCATTTAGTGTAGCAGAGCCTTTCCAGTGAGACAACAGCAGCGCCTGAATGGAACAGAACCTGGTAACACCTGTGTTTACCTTTTTTATGTCAAAATGGCTGCTGTGATCACCTGGTACAGCAGAGGCCCCATGTACAAAGGCTGAGTCGTCACTGAACCGGACTAAAACTAAAATGTAATAGTTTTATTCACCAGATGTCTAGAATTATTATTATTCCTTATTTGTGCATGAGAGAGGTAGATTTTCGGAGCGAAAAACACAATGAATCAAGTGTTTCAGATTAATCCATCAACCAGTCGTGACCATTTGTCAATCAGTCATTGATCATTGATTGAGCTGGGTGCGAAATGCAAAAAAAAGACTAACTTGTAGGCATCTGGTGTTTGGTCACTGCACTTCTTTGTTGTTTAGGAGTAAATAAACATTGTAGAACATGTAAACATGTTCTATAGAGCGTTGTAGCCTCTTTCGGCTAATTGTTTTGGTTTTACAGCCTGCAACTCAACTTTTTTGGTTCACTCTCACTGCTCTCATCTGTGTTGTTTCCAATATTGAACTGAGTATGCACTACCTACCCACCATTGACAAAGTTAGCAACTATGTGGAGGTGAGCATGCAGCTGCTTATAATCCATATATTGGATATTGGTTTGAGACCAAAACAGAGCTAAAAAAATGCTACATATAAGTCAAGCAGGTAATAGAGACGTTTCATACCGTAATAAGCATGTTGCTGTGATTTCCACTAATAATTTCTTTATGCATTTATATAGCTTATTGTCCCACACCTGTGTACTTGAAGGCTTTGTCCTGCATTGTAAATTCTTTCTTTTGTTTCTTGAAACTGTAGCATGTCTTGTCAAATTGAGCAAAAGATTTAGAGGCAACAATAATTTGTAAGAAGAAGCCAGCGCTGCTGTTGTCGGTGCACGTCTTCCCAGGAACACAGATAATTCACCGTGATACAAAATCTCTCTAATGAGTTAATTCACACTCCAGCAGGCAGGAAACTTTGAGGGCATTTAGCCATTTTCATACTCCCCGGAAAAGATATAAATCTGCATTCTGGAAGCCAATCTTCCTGATGATGAATGCGGTCTTTTGCCTCTCACTCTCATCCTCCTGCTCTTGTTTTTCTCCCATCTGCTCAATCGAAGGTGATAAATGTGTGATGGCGATAGAAGTGGTCGAGACCTTAGAGGAAGAAGATTCAGGGAGAAATAAGCAGAAAACAAAAACTCTGCATGTTGGAAACAAAGGAGAGTTTTGAGCTGAGTTTTATGGGAAAATGACATTTTAAATTATAGTTACACAGACAGAATGACACATGAGAGGGGGCCAAACAGGGATCAATACGTCAATATTTTATCCTCTCTCATTCAGCTCGAGTAGACTTGTAGAGCCCTTTCATCTTCACAACCCTCTTTCTAGGGCCAATTTTCTCTTCCTCTCTCCTGTTGATAAGTTAGGTAATGTCTCAAACTCTAGGAGGATAACAGATGCACTGATGCACTGTGTGTACCTGCTGTGAGTGTGTGCCTCACTGGGCCTTAAGCCACTGGAAATGTCCATGGTGCTGCTGAACTATGGCACTGTCAACTTTCCAGGGTGCTTTCTAGGTTAGGTCATTTGTTGTGAGGGAATGAACGCAGTGAGAGAGCTGCTAAATGCCACTAAGCTTCACAGAGCACATATTGACTGGCAGGACTCCGAGAGGAAGCACAAGAAAATGAAAACAGTAAAGCAGACGGATTTTTAGAATCCCCCTGCAGCAGCACAAATCTACTGCAGGGGAAAAAAGATTGGCCTCATAACTGCAGGAAGCCTGTTTATACCACTGAGCCATGCCAACAGAAAGATGATTTTGTCAGTTTGCTCCAATATCAGACAAATGTCTTACTTATCTTTGAATTCAGGAGCAGCCCAGCATGTGTGCTGCTCTCACAAATGATGAGGTGTGCGAAGCTCTTCTATTTCCTCTCACTCGTACAATCTGCTAAACGTAGCTGTTTGGTAACCAATATATTTTCTAGCACAATGCTATATGTGAGACGTCGTCATATCGACTGTGTTTGAATGAGTGTGTGCTGGAATAAACTATTACTGTCTTTTCTCATGTATACAGTGCTAAAACAATAGTGCATGTTTTTATTGCTCTTAATTACCATAATTCCTGAGTTTGAGTCATGATCCATAAACGTAATGCTTCTTGCGACGATTAGAAATCCAAACTACATTGTAGCTGCAACATTTTCTGTCCCCAAGACCACAGAAATCATATTTCACTCAATCAGTCACAGGAATTGTAGTCTGTGAAACCTATTTCGGCTTCCTGCTTTAAGGCACCGCTCTAACCCACCTAAAATTATTTTATTTGTCTGGGTTTCAGTCACACACAGTTTTTCAGGAGATTTTATTGTACAAATGATCAAATTGCAATTTGTTGAAGATTGGTCTCAACTTAAAGTGCATTCTGCTCACTTAAAATGATTCTTGTTTATAGATGTTGTTTCAGTGCAAATGTAGTGCACTTCATACTGTGGGGAAACTCAAATCACTGTCACATACTTGTATTTGTAGACATTTTAAAATACTGAATATTAGGACTTGGACTCATTTAGTTTAGACTTGACTTGACGAAAACAAAAACAACTGAAAATTTTACTTTAACACTTGTGACTTCACTCCAGTGTAGGGCAAGTTACTTGAAAAATGTAATCAAGTACTCAGGGAATCGCACACTGTACAAACCCAGTTACACCTTTAAAGATCTAATTTCTCCTCTTTTGGAGAGAGGCAAACAAGCTACTTGATTAATTTCATTATCGATTCATTTGACTTTTTTGTGTGTAATTGAATAATTGCTTAGTCTGTAAAATATCAGAAAAAAGTAATACAATGTCCATCATAGTTTCCTAAAGTCCAAGGTGAGATCTTCAATATTGTCCAACCATCAGTCCAAACCCCAAAGATATCCAGTTTACTATGATAAAAAACAGAGAAAAGGAGCAAATCATGAGCTTGGAGAAGCTGAAATCAGACAAATTAAAATTTAACATTTTTGGCTTGAAAGATGACTAAAACGGTTAATTTATGCTCATCGACTAATCGACTTATCAATGCAGCTCTATGTCCTTTGTGTCCTGCATCAAAAACTCTAGTTCAAACACACAATTATGATCCGCCCCCACATATAAGTGCAACTACCTTTACATCAAACAAGGCAGAGATTTTTAGCTTGCTTTCAAATCACACAATGTTTTCCCTCCCCTGCACGGGCTTCACTCTAATGCTTTACAAGGTTTTTGGAGGAACTTTTCTGCCCTACCTCCCACTTTCAGAAAAAAGAAAAACTCCCTCCATTGATTTCCTGTTACTTTGTGACCAAAATAGTTCAGCGTGCTGAGTCCCTTGTGTGTGTTGAGCTGTTGAGCTAGACAAGCAGGCAGTCGGAGGCAGGCTGTGGGCTGGGAATGGAGTAGAAGGGAGATGACAGTGCGTGAGTCTCTGAGAGTCTCCCATGACAGTCGGTCCCAGACGAGAAGGCCAAATAAACAACGAGCGAGCGAACAGAGCACCAAACCATGCCTTGAGCCCGGAGAGAGAAAATAGAAAGAGAGACGGGAGAGAGCTCAGGAATAAGATGACACAGCGTGCACAGGCTTCCGGAGAGGGTAATGAGTTTGGCCAGGTTCCCATGATATGCTGCACCACAGAGAGAGAGGGAGAGATGCTTCTAGACATCACAGTTGGTAAAAAAAAATATGTATCCATCCCTTCATCTTTTGTTTCCAGTAAAGAAGTCTGTTGTTTTTCAAAATCCAATTACATGTGATGGCTATAGATGCTGCAGCAGAGAAACAATCGCGCACCTGCTGTTTACTGTCAGTATTGACTTCTGAATCTTACTTATGCCATTTGAGCCTAAGGGCACATAGACCCATCCACTGAAGAGAGATGAAGAGGCATTAGTTATATTGACAGTATTCACAGATCAATATCCATTTATGCTTCTGTTATCGGTGCAACTTAGTGAAGTGGCTCCTGCAGTGACCCTTTCTTGCCACTTTTTCTCTCTCTTTATTCTTCCCTCTTTCCTTCCTTCCTGCCACTTCCTCCTTCTACCCTTTACTCATCAAATACAGAGGGTCTCTACCAGCTGGGCGGTCCACGCTGTGCCCCTCAGAGCAGCATTGAGGGACTGGAGGACACAGAGGTAGGATCATTATGAACAGTCTTTCAGTGAATTCAACAGCAGCCAAGAGCAAGTAGAAGTATCCAGTTATATGTCTTGCCACGTAGCCTCACTTCTTTCACAAAATGCTGCCTCTTCTTCCCCTCCCATTGAGGTCTCTCCTTTAAGTGTGTCTTTTTCAATTGCTTTTGCAGAGGAAATGTAAGACGCATGTGCTGCTGTTGGTGGTGCATGGGGGGAACATCTTGGACACAGCAGGCGGAGACCCCAGCACAAAAGCTGGTGATGTGGCCACCCTAGCCTCAGTGCTGGAGAAAGTGACGCGTGTGCATTTTCAGGCCGCCGCCGAACACGTGATGATCAAGCTGGTGCCATGTCCGGCAGTGTGTGCTGAAGCCTTCTCCCTGGTGTCCAAGTGAGTGCAGCTGCCAGTCTCATTTACGCTTTCATTTCAAGTGTCTCCTATCTGGATAGAGTCCAGATGTGTTTTAATACACCTTTGTTTACATATTTAGCCACATACACACTGGTATTATTATAAATATGTATATATACATATATTATATATATATATATTTTTTTTAGGCCTTTATTATATTATGACTGGTAAAGATATATTCACAAAATGGGGGAGACAGAGATAGTGGGCCTGGTGAGCTACTAGGATGCCCCACTGGCGTCAAATTAAAAGAAAAAACAGACAAAACAAGTGGACAAGGGCACAAGGTGTGTCTGAAAGGTTTGATTAGTTAAAAATCCTTCACCGTTACCAAACATCTACCCAGTTGAACACCTGTGGCAAATCTTGTGCCAACATGTTAAACAGTGCTCCCTAAAACAGCAATGAGGGGATTTCTGTTGAAAGAATGGTGTTTATCCCTCTAGTATAATATAAAGGGTTGAATAATCTATGTCAAGGAGTATTAAAGCTATTCTAGGCTTGTTGTGACCCAAAATCTTACAAAGACACTTCATACACTTTATTTGTAGCCCCATGATACCTTTGGGGCATCTGGTTATTTCTTTTACTCAACTGGCGCCAGTGAGAGTTAGCGGTATACTAGGTGTCTTCACTTTTCTTTGGAGGAAATAAATGATGTGGTAACACAGTCTGTCACACATTAAGGCGGATAATGTGATCTACCTTCAACTAGCAAAGGAATGGTGGTTAACCTGAAGTGGCCTCTGATAATGTACAGTAGCATATTTAGCTTGCGTGGCTACACAACCTGTATTTAAAAGCAGTTTTTGGTTTATGTTCAACACACTTTTGTTTAAATCACAAATGATCTCACACTAGGGTAGCTTAGTTTATTACTGCAATCCAGTTCAGTTTGTTCTTAATAGAAGGAAAATTAGCTCATATCTCATGTGAGGTTATGTTCCCACATCATTTACTTCCCAAAGAGCTCCAAGAAAAGAGGAAGACATGTACACCATGTGTCTCACAATCAGCGGTTCATGAAAGGAATAACTGGAAGTTGTAATTCACACAAGGTATGGTATCATGCTGCTGTGAATAAGATGGATAGTCTAATGGTTATTTCCTTTAATTTGTCACCCATCTGTATATACGTCTCCTTTAGCCAGGTCACTAATCTGATTGCATCTATCATGCTTTTCCTGAGCTATGTGCAAACTTTGTGGGTGCATCTGATCCCAAAATGTGCCAGAGGAATAAAATATCCTTAAAACTGTTTAGCTAGGTAACTCATTTGCTGTTACTTCCTTTTTCCTGACGCTTTAAAGTAGTAAAGAAAAAGAAGGAAAAAAATTTGTGTCACTTAAGTTGCTATTATCAGCTGCAAGACCCTGGAAGTGGCTACTTCCACTTCTACAGCTTGCTTACTGACATAGTTAAACTTGGGGGGAGTTAAGACACAGCCAGTAAATCACCATTTACAATCAGTTATTTTTGGTGGAAAGGCTCTGCTCTTCCAGGGAGCTCTCAAAGAATCCAACAACAATGGCTCAAATCAACACTACCAAAAGCTTGGAATGAGACATTGACATTGGAATGAGCGTATGATTATATCCTGCATGGATATGATTGGAAGTTACTAGTCAGCTGATAAATGAGCCAGTGATTGTGAAGCATGAATGAATCAGCTAAAGTGAGGACCTTTCAGGAATCTGCCAGAACTAACTACGGTATGGTACATAGGCTTTTTTTTTTCACGTTACTGGATGAAAATCATGGGTGCAATTATATAAATGAATGATAGCTGAGTTCTATTTCGCTGCTTCAGTTACCGGGTATTGTGCATGTTTGCTCACTGTCACAATGTCATGACTCAGTAAGACACTTGAATATACATTTTTCACAGCGGCCTGATATGAAATAGTAGGGTGAACACAAGTGTTACCAATTATTAAATAAGGTTCAGTTCCATGTAGTGTAGCAGCATCCAGTGAGCCAACATGCACAACAGCAGCAGCCTGACTCTGTTTGACCTGAATGGGATGGAACCTTAATTAGTATCATTGGTAACACCTGTGTTTACCCTACTATTTCATGTCAAAATTAGCTGCTGTTAAAAAGGTCTACAGAGCGGAGCTATTGTGCTATTATGTTATTATTGACACCTGTGCTTGTCCTACTGTGACAAGTCAAATGTCTGCTGTGAAAAAGGCCTATTATGTTGAGTGCAATCAGATTGCAATCAACAAGGTTTCTTTCCACTTTGCTTATTTGACATCCGATTGCAATCTCGTGTTTAAAATAGCAATTGATTTAGTTGAACCTGGTATTAAGGCGCCACCGAGCTTTCCTTAATTTGATTTCTTTGTTTTTCTGTTGTGTTTTTTGTATTGAACCATTATCCCTAGTTTGATATACAGGACATTACTGTTTAAGAAGACATTTGCCTTGTATGAATGCATGTCTGTAAGAATTAGCATAGAGGCAAAGGTGGTGAAGGTTAATTGAGAAAATATATTGACCAAAGACCCCTAAACAGACAAGTACAATGCTAATTAGTATGCTGATGACATTTCTCAGCCCCCTGCAAGCACGTGGCCATGTGGAATATTTAGTCCTGGAGGCGGCTCCTTGGTGGACAAAATGAATGCCTAAATGACATTATACAGTTTCCACTGATCCTGAGGCCCCTGCAAGGAAAGTATGACCTGTGTGTCTAATTAGCTACTGTGACTTTGTTTCAGGTTTCATTTGTGGTCAATTTCAGAGTGGAAATTAATTATTGTGGATATCATGGTAGAACCTCAGTGAAGAGTCTCAATTTTAAAAGTTTTATTCCTTGCAATATTTTCTGTAATGTAATGAAGTCCTTGACTGGAAGATATTTTTGAGATACAGGAGGTAAAAACATGTCTGCCTTCATGTACTTGCTCTTTTTTCAGTCTTGTCTGCTGCCTGTGCAGAGAGCTGCTTAGGCGTAACTAATGATTTCATTTCACATTTAATGTCACATGTCCCAGTGGTCACCAGTCTTATCTTTGACAGCGTCACTTAGTTTTCACTGCTTTCCAATTATATGCTGAGGATGTTTTTGTCTGAATTGTCACTAATCACTTGTGGAGAATGTGTTTGGCAGTCTAAGTCGAGGCTTCTGTCTGGTTTTGTGATTGACGCGAGCAGGACTGAGGTACTGACTAGAAGCAAGACCTGTGTAAAGAGATTTGAGTGCTGTAGCTGCTCGACAGCTTGGCGTGCGCTCAGCTTTTACCACATCTGCGGATAAAATATTAAAAACAACAACTTCCCATGGGAGTCGAGCAGAACTGAGTTAACTCGATTGCCTGTGCTTGTATGCATGTAGACATACACATGCACATACACAATTGATATTCTGGCATGCCTGAAATTTAGCTTGAAAAGAGACATTTACACTACATACAAATACTATGGCACACAGTACTAAAACTGTCTTATTAGGATTCATTAATAATTAAATAAAAAGAGAAATAAATAAACAATTTAAATGCACAAACCAAATAACAGGTTTAGTATTGTATAATAAATCGATTTCACATTATTTTTTTGGTCCCTAATAGTTATGTTAAGATTTATTTTCCTGCAGTAGGTTTTATTTGTTGTTAGCCTTAGTGGTTATAACCTCAAAATGCATTCGGCTTGACACCCCAGTAATTTTAGTGGGGAAAATAAATTAAATGTTTGAAATGAAATAAACAAAGCTACAACCAAAGAATAAACTCAGCTGAAGGAGAAAACAGAGTTGAAAGGGGATTATAAAATAAATAAAAATCTGTTAGCAAATGTGACAAAGTTGCTGCTTTCCTGGAGAGTTAACAGGCGTGAACCTGTGATATTGTGTGTCAAGAAGCATCCTCCTCATGTGATAGGCTTCTGCAATTGCTCTTTTTACTAAGATCAAACATTCATGTATGATGTATGTATTATTAAGGAAGGATTAGTTCGTCCAATATATTCCTTGTTTAAGAGCGCCCTCAAAGAACAGTGTCTTATTAAATTGTACTGTATAACTATGTACTATCAGTTGTTTATTCCTTGTAACAGTAATAGTAATTTTGGCAACGCTTATATTACAGCTCGGTTATAACATGTAACAGCGGGGTAATAGTTTGATAATAAAAACGAATATCCAGGTAACCACTTGGTATTTAATTGGTATTTCTTGGAAATATTTGACTGAAATTTATGTAACATTGGGGGCCAAAGACAAAGGTTAATAAAGTGCAATGAGGCAAAACTATTTAGTAATAGTAATATTTTGATAACAATATATAACCGCTAACAAAATAATAATAATAATATAATAAAATGGTTATATCAGTGCGATATTTGGATTAGAAAATATGGAGTAATAACTTGTTTATAATTTGTAATTTCACAGTAATATAGCCTACTTTCAGCTTCAGAATTGGTATTGTAATGCGGAAATTATTCCTTCCTTATATGCCAAACATTCCCTTTTGAATTGATACCTGGAAACACAATATTTTTAATTTCATGGAAACATTACAAGGTATTACTCAATTATTGCCTCTTTATTACTGATCTGTAATGTAAGGGGTTTGCAATCTTGAGCTTAGATTTGCTTTTTAAAGAATTGATACACACTATGCCGAACATTTTAAAGTTAAAAAATTACTTGTTAGTTATCGGCCAACACATAAATCTGCAATGTATCGCCAATAAGCTAATATCAACCAATGTATCGTTCTAGTTCTTGTGATCTACAATGGCGAGCCAAAGCTGAACCAAAATTCAGCTCATTAACAGCCTGTTGAAAATCTCTTAAAAACAGTGATAAGTCAATAGTGTTTTAGCTCTCCAGTGAAATTAGACAAAGCTTGCCCAGATAGCTCCAGGTCCCACAATATGTGCAGCCAGTAGGCTTTCATACACACCCACACAGAAACAAACACAACACTTATTCAACTACACTTTTGTCAGTTAACAGTGTTTGC